GGGAAAGAAAATGCCTTCCTCTCTCTTTTATATCACAATATAGCTTTTAGGTAATGTTTCTTTTTGGTATCACCATTTGTGAATACTAGCCTTTGATTACAAAGCTCAGGATTTTGTGAAGTCTTACATATAGTAGCACCATGGAACAGCTACACATAGAAATTTCTTCTGAAAGTAGTATCTGAACCAAATGTGCTTATGAAAAATATATTCTCTGATCTTCTAGTAAAGTCCATCCCCATAATTATTTAGCAAGATCTTCCTCTAAAGCTCCTTCAATATATCCTTCAAATGCCTCTTTGTAGAAGCCATTACATCAATCATGCAGTTGTAACAGCATGACTTTCTTAGCAGAATCTCAGGCAAACTGTCTTTTCCAAATAACTCCAGGTGATTTGTTTCCATGAACTACTATGCAGTATACCACTTGTCTTTATGTAAATATTCTCCTCTTAGCCACCACTGACCTTTTTATTTAAGAGTAAATACCTGAGCTATAGCTGAATGAACATTAGCTTGAAGTCTCAACCTCAAGACTACTGTCTGGCACAGAGAATAAATTTCAAATAATGGACAAGCTGTTGTGTTGAACAGAATTTGCAAAACACAGAAATTCTGAGACAGAGAAATTGTAAGTTTGATAAAATTCTCAACCAAAATTATAAAAGCAATAAGTAAATCTCAATGTTTATCAGTCCTGTTAGCCATATATAATTTTGGGAGCAGGGGAGGAAGCAATATAAATTATCATAATGTAAGAATTTTTATAAAATGAGTTATAAATGTTCAGTAACTTCTCACTTCTGTATTCGGTCCTTAAAATTAGGAAAAGAAGATGCATACCAAAAGGAAAACACATTCTGGCATGAAAATGTTAAGCATATTCTATAACTTCACTAATAATTGCAGTTATGACATTGCTTATATTTAGTGGTTCTTTTTTATTTAATAATATAAATGATGTTTTTATGTCACTAACCACATACTGCTATTTACTGCTATTTAATACTGCTATAACTGCTATTTAATCACGTTAAGATGTTACTTGTAAATAGTAAGCTTACTGATGAGTAAACAGAAAAAAAAAATTCTCGCTCATTCTCACACTCGTTCTAAAAAAACTTAACATGATTTTAACATCAAAATTAGATTAGAAAGTCAGACTCCTCCTTTGTTTTATTTTATTATTTAAATAGCTTCTTTTTAGAATAGGCCCTTCCCCTTTTCCCCTTTTCAATTTCAAATCAGAGAAAAGCTGGCTGAGACCTACAAGCCCACAATCCTTTGTTTGGGCGGAGTATTAAGGCACCGTTCTGCCATTTGTCCGCTATGCTCTTACGGAAAGCCAGAGAGCTGGGAAATCTTGATACTGTCTTTATTGCCTTCTTTGCCAAACACCTGTAGGGGAATTTTCCTTACAGAAAGAGCTCAATCATGGCTTCTTGTAACTGCAAGGCAGCGAGATCTACATAGACAGCAGAGTGCAGGAAGGAGCAAAGTGGAACTTTGCAGTTTTTCCAGCAAGTATTTGGCCACAAGATGAAGTAAATGGCAAAGAAAATGTACCATGTATTATCTATACAGGAAAGCTTCTGCTTCTCAATTGCTCTTCAGTCACCTGGGATTTTACAAGGGATGGGAGTGTTAGATTTTCTGAAGTAGAAACACCAGCAAAGCACCAGTGATTCTGGAAGAGTGAATTGTAAATGGTGAATAAAACTAGATGAATATGAGTTTTGAAAGCAAGTTTGCATAGCTAACAATGATGTCTAGAAACTGATCAAATCATGATCAGTACAACTTTGTTCATTTACACTGGGAATTGAATTTTAAAAATGATGGACCAAGTGCTGATTTCCCTAAATCAAGCTCAAATAAAAGCAAGAATTATATATTGCATTTTTTTTTCTGAACCACAAGACTGTGGGAATGAGGAGAGGTTGGAAGGAAACTTTCAACATCTGTTAAGAAGAATGATTAGAAGGTAATATGAAATCTGAAATGCAGCTGAAACACATCATAAATCTAGGGACAACAACTGAGACATTTGCAAGGAAGCTGAGGAGACTGGATGTAAATGTTTTTGAAATTACTAGATGTGCTTTACATTCAGTGTTTTTGCTTTGAAAAATGCATCAATGTGTATAATTACAATACAAATGTCTTTTGGACTTTCTCCACTTACATAAACAATGAATTACTATTATGACAACTTGTAGTGGTGCTGTTTCTATGTTTCTATGTGATTGCAATGGCATTTTTCTTAATGGCTACATTATAAAACCAAGGAAATGAACAGTTGCAGGGGCAGCTAAACCTATGGAGGCATCATTTGTTCAAGCTGTGCCACAGCAAGCCATTCCAACTTAAAACACGCTTTTCCTCACCTAAGGGAATTCAGTTCACCCCACCAAATGGAAAATGAATTGACTCAATTGGTCATGCCATCAGATACTCCCAGCTAGTACACAGCCTTTTTCTCATGTGCTCAAATGCTGACTGAACACAGTCACCATGTGGTATTTTGCTCCAACTGATGTCTCAAATTGCCTCTGTGGTCTTGGATGCACAGCTTGGACTTTCATTACTTGTTCTTTAAACCTCTCTTTAATCACCACATCTCCTCTGAGACAAGTTGCAAATGACACATAGAAAAGTTATTTTCATGTTCTACCTGGCATTGCTTCTTATTAGTTCTGAATTTTGATTTTTTTTTCCTCTCTAAGATGACAATCAGCAAAATAGAAGAGCTACTGGAAAGAATTCAGTTAAACAGCATTTTTGGCCACTTCTTGAACAGAAAAATGGACAAATGATGAAGGGAATTTTGGTCTTGTGTACTTAAATGAAGGGCCAAATGACAGCAGACCCTACAGACTCTTTCTACGGTCCTCAAGACTTCCAAACAGCAGGAGCATAAAGCTAGCATGACAAGAGTAAGGATTCACTTGAAGATGAAGAAGAATGTGAGTATTACCTGCACCAGTAGTAGACACGAGTTTGGGTTTGCTGCGGGCTCCATCACCTTTAGTTGTATAGGCTGTCACAGTGAGAGAGTATGTAGTTTCAGGCTGAAGTCCAGAAATTATCATTTCCTAAGATGAAATACAAAAAATCCCACTGCATTAGAAATGTATTGTCTTCTAAGAGAGTATAGGCAATATATACTACTGCCTACAATACAGGTAGTATTTCAGGCAATACAGTGAACATACTTTTGTGCTACAGGTAATGACAGTAAGCACTTTAGAGCACCAACAAAATCTTCTTGTGAAATATTTTGTAAGGCAAGATGTTTCACTTATGCAATGAAAGACAGTACATTCCTAAATAGCATGCCTTAGGTAGTTTAAGGCACAAGGCCAAAGACTTAGTGATGAGAACAGTGAATAAACCTTACGAAATACATTGCCTAGAGAATCTTACTGACATTGTAAACTGAATATATATGTAAAAGTGAGAAACTCAGTTTGATTTAGTCATTCACTAGACATCCCTGACTAAAGTACAAGATTCTTAGGAACAGGAGTGTCGCAGCTGCATCCACAGTCCATAAGATACTATGATTCAGCAAACAATAAAGCCTTTTTACTCTCGTAACACTTTCATTGCAATCTCCACTACATCTAGTACTCCCTTCCTGACCATCTAGGGTTTTAAATGGTTTCTACTGGAAGGAATATTCATCTATCTAGATTACTAGTAGTACATTCATCTAATGATTTCAAGGTATTTTAGAAACAGCTGATTTTTAAGAGCTCAAAGAACTAATACAAACACTATTAACAATTTGGTCAGGGAAGAAATATAAAGGATCCTCAAGCAAACCATAGCATCTACAGAGGTAATTTTTCAGCTAGAACAACACGATGGGGCAGGATCAAATATTAAGTGCTAAGATAAGGTAAATTTTACACACACGCACACACACACACACACACACAGAGACATACACACACAAGGGCCAGTCACCTGAACCAAATTAAATTTATCTCATGCTTTAAGGCAGGCCTGAAAAATTTAAGTCTTGATACCTCAACTTGACATGTAAACATTGCCCTAATATACAAGTTTCATGGAAGAATATAAAATGACAGTCCTGGGAAGTAACTCACTGGACCAAATTTTCCCACTCATCTCAGTTTCCAGTCTCCAACCACATCTTTTCATTTTCATATGTCTGAATGTCTTTACCCTAAATTTCACTGATGCTACAGAAATGGTATATTTATGTGTCAAGAATGAATTGAAAATGTTAAATCACGTACACTTCAAATGAAACAACCACAAAACTTAATAAAAATATTATGGGTCAGACTATCCAGAGTAAATGGGTTTTTCAAGACAACAGCTTTGAGCTCAATGCAGATGAGATTAGAATTTGGCATTGTATTTTCAGTCTCTTATTAACAATATACAAGTCAAAAGGTAATGATCAGGAGGAGGCAAAATGCTCTAATAAAATATAAACATAAAAAAAAAAATCTCCTATCACAGAATTGAATTAAGCCTAAAGGCCAAAATCAGTAAAACCAACTTTTGATCTTTCAGACATAAATTGCACCTGAAGTTAACAGAATGGAGCAATAAAAAGGCAAAACAAATTATACTGTCATTTGAAACAGTGATGAGCGTATTAGTCTCATCTAAAACAGCTTTGTAATGTAACAGAGCTTTATAATGTAACAGGGCTTTATAATGTAACAGAGATATGATGGCATGTCTTTTAGAAATGTGATTTGGATCTGGCAAACATGTATTACTTAGGCATAAATACTACAGGGCATTTGGCTTTCCTAATCTTGCTGGCAAGCATACAAAATAGATTTATCAAATTACTAAAGGAAAAAGAAAATTTTGTCTTTCAGTTGTGCAAAAATCAGATATCATTAAAAGTAATATAGAAAAATGTGTGGCTATTGCTAGGCTATTCTAAACCATCTTCTTTTTATTATTCTAGCACCATCTTTCAAGAGAGAAAACCTCCTTGCTTTCTGAGGCAAAGTTAGTAACAGCCACCAAAACAGAAGAAAACATTTTACATTTACATCTGTACATTTTAGCATCATGCTAAATCACAGTACAAAACAAGCAACACCCTCCCACACATCCCTCCCAGGGAGGGGAGAAAAGTGCCATATAAGAGAAAAAACAAAAACATTGATATTGTTAGTACATGCAGCTGTGCAAAGGACAAAAGGACATTCAAAAAATGAAAGGTGGTTACAAGCAAACAAGCAAAAAATAAAAAACAAAATAAAACAAACAAAAAAACCCACCAAAAACCAAAAACAAAACCCCAGCTTTTTGTCTGGCCAGTCAATAATTACTCACATGTTCAGTAGAATCATCATATTCCCACTGATTGAGAGTAAAGATTGTTGGAAAGAGAAACAAAAAAAATAAGGAAAGATTTGTAGCCTTGTTGAGGCAACTACTTATTCTTAGCAGCAAAATAGATAAATAAATAAGAAAGACGTCTGGAAAACTCATGTAGAATTTGAAAATCTCATTAATGAAATCAGGCCAGGCATTTTCAGTTTCATTTCTCCTCCTCACCAAAACACAGAGCAGTGACTTCTCTTTCCTTGGGAGATGAGAACAGTACAAATTCCTGGGCACTGAATCTTCTTGTACCATGTAGTAATATTTTATGAGAGATTGCATTAGTAAAAGCCACTGAAATATAATTAAGTGCTACCGGGTTTATTTAATCATGTTACTAGGCCACATACATTCCTATTTCAACCTTAGTTTTCTCAAATTAAACCAATGCCTTATTTCAATAAATAGCAGAATGGCATGTATGTATTTGTGAATCGTAACCACGCTAATCGGAGTCCTTCTCTGTGGAGGTCTTTTCACTGCATAAAACTCTGAGCACATGGGCCATGGAAACAAATGAAGCAAGAAGCATAGAGGAAGAACAGAGGCCACTCTTCTAAAATGAACCAAAGGCAAACGGGCAATGTGGAGCTAGAACGTCAGACTTGTACTGTACTGTATTTGGGCTCCAAAATCACACCCAGTCTCCCATTCTAATCTCGGAGATAAATTAATTTACAACCATACAGATGCTGAAAGCAAAAATCTAAGTAGGGAGGGGGACAATCAAAGCACAGCATAATCTACTTTTACTTTTCATGTCCTTTCGCTTCCTTGGCCTCTCTTCCCTTTTCGCCTGCTTTCTCTCAACTATTTAAAGATGTAAGAACACTTTAAACACAGTTTTCTAAAGTAGACAGGTAGATAAAAAGACAGGTAGGTAAAATAAAATAACAAGGCTCTCCAGAAACTGAAGAGCCATTTTGGGAATAGGCTTACAAAATGTAGTGTGTAGGAGATTTGTTCTTAAAAAATGTATCTGCATAGATGAAAGGTAGAACTAAGACTAGGGGAAAAAAGACCAAAAAAAATTAATATTCATATAAAATGTTTACGATTAAAATGAAGCTATTTACTTCACACAGATGATTGTTTGCAATGATTTCCAGTCATTCCCATACACATTGAGAATGAGCTTGCCGAGGTTTGTACATGGTAATAGTTTCAACATAGGTTAATTCCTTCAGCACTCGGAACTCAGAGCATCTCCATTTTGACAGAGTGCTAGTATACCTAGCACTAGCTAATATATAATCTTATTTTAAGAAGCTTTTTTAAACTTTATGTAATCAAAGGGATTACATAAAGCATGGATGTGTGCTTCCATCATGGCTTATTATTTATAAAACAGATCAGAAATTTTACATTAGAAGAAATCCTAAACCTATTTATACCAATCTTCTCATTTCACTGCACAGTTATAGAACTGAAAAGTGTTAATACATCAGTGTCTTCTGAAGCTGTACCCATGACTTCATTTCCTGTGAAATATGTGGATACACAGTATGCCATTATGCTGTGACGACATAATTGTAATGACAAAACACTATAATTATGAGGTATATGGACCTCTAATTTGAGTCTAGATTTTTCACTGATCCAAAAAAATATTGGGAGGTTGCATCAGGTGATGCACATTGAACTGTAAGCACTTATGATGTTCCTGGTGCTTTACATTTCAGACAACAGGTATAGTGTGCAATCTTTAGGTTTAAAGTCAGCAGTACAACACAGCCTTGAATTTACTTGGTGTGCACCTCTACAGGAAAGGTTGCCTAGATTTGGCCAAAGAACCAGAAAGCACAAAAAATCAACCAAGTAACCAAGCAACCAAACAGAAACAACTTATTAAAATAAATGTAATATTTTATATCTGAGTAGATGAAGTACGGAAAGAACATGTCCTATTCAGCTCTCATAAATGAAAAGTTTCCAGCATGACCCAGGAAAGAATACAAAATGATCCTGTTACCTGTGCATCAGCCAGCATGATGTCCTTCAGCATGGGTTGACCCTTTGGCTCTCCGTTTTCCATCCTCACATAGTGGACCTGGTATCCTCGGATCTGGCCATGCTGCTTATTGGGTACAGGTGAGCGCCATGACACTTTAACAGCAGTAGAGTTGACAGCCTCTACCTCGACTTTGCGAGGAGGACCACTAGGAACTGGAACAACATCATTGGATAAAACAGAATTACAGGCACCTGTCCCACCCATGCAGAGTCTTTTCTTTTTCTTTCTTTCTTTCTTTTTTTTTTTTTTTAAGGACAGACTCACTAAGATTTCTTTGAAGAATATAAATTGTTCAACAAATGAAAATGCTCAACCAATCTGCTCTACCTTTCAGTGAAAGATCAAAAACCATGACTGATGCAAAAAAATGGAAGAAAAAAGAGTATTAGAGAAATAGAAAAACATGTAAAAATGTACAAAAGCCAAGGAAGATGCTTTGAGAGTCAAAGCATTAAAGTACAAAGATATTTTAATCACTGAAATAATAATAAGTAAAAAAAAAAAAAAAACGCAATAAAACACACAAAATATTTCCAAAAAAGCTTCCCTTGTTTTTGTTTGCTATTTCTTTGTTTGGACTCTTTCAGTAGTATAAAAAGAAGGTTGACAATAGGATGGTCTTCTGTCACTTTCATGCATGGAAGAAAAGAAAATGTATGCAGCATCAGTTTTCCAAGATTAAAAACAAAACTCAATTAAAAAAAAAAAGTCAAAACCAAACAAACAAAAAAGAAAAAAGAAAAACCCTCACAGAACAAGAAAGAAGTTACAAAAATACCTGGAGAAAAGTTCATAGACATGTGTTTAAAAAAAAAAAAACAACTACTACGTCAAGAATAATGCAGCAAGATTTTCCTGTGAGAATTATTTTTAGGTAGTAGTAGGAGAAAGAAGGATGTGTGCTCAAAGGGCAGCAGATTCACTTCATTCACAAAAATATATTTTCTCTTAATAAGTAAAAATCCCAAATACAAAAGTGATGTACAAAGGACAAGCCTTTGATTAAAACACTCAAATGGTGGTATTAGGAGTGGGAGAAAAAAAGAGGAGCAGAAAAAAGAACTGTTAGCCTACACAAAAGACAGTAGATCGATAGAGGTGCAACTGATGGAGTGGAGGCAACATACCATCTTCATCTGTCCGAATCAATACTGCTAAGCTCTCTGGGCCAGGTCCAACATCAGTGTGGGCAGTCACAGATATCCGGTACTCAGTCCATTTTTCCAGCTGTTCCAAAAGGTATTGGGTACTGTCCGAGGAAATTCCCAAAATTTCATGGGGCTTGACATCTTCTCCATCAATCCCAATGTACTTGATGGAGTATTCAGTGATAATGCCGTTCTGCTTTTCCACTGGTGGAGGTTTCCAACTTACCAAAATGCTAGTGGAGCTGGGACTTGTGCAACTAATGTCTTGAGGAGGAGCTGATGGCTCTAATTTCAGTAGTGGGTTAAAGGAGGATTTGAGTGAAAGGATAGGAGTGATTGAAAAAAAAATGAACAAAAGAAAAAATAAAAATAAATAAAAGGCAACCAAATTAAAATAAAACTAAAAAAAAATGTAGTAACTTAAAAAGCAAAATATTGAAGAATCATATGCACCTTGGCTTATTAATATGAGGAAACAGAAAATGAATAAATCAACCAAATGGTGAAAAGGATGTGGGGGAAATATATGAAAATGAAGCCTCAAAATAATATTACCTACCTGTAATTATAATTCTTCTTGAAATTAAACAAAAACGTGATACTTATGACTACAGACCTACCCTTGTAATAACTGCAGTTAGTGCAAGTTATAATTTAAATGTGTGACATGTTCTTATTTCAAATTTGGACATTTTGACTCCAAGTGGATCTTCACTCTTTGAGAATATATATTTTTTTCTTTTAACGGAGTTCTAAAATACTTGCAGTAACTGCTAGAATTTACTCCAAAAACCACCAAGCACTTCTGTAGTCTCTCCATTCCCAAAAACAAACGATCACATTTTCAGCTTTCTTTTTATAACTGAGTCTGCCTAGAACAAGTCAACCACAAATAATGTTTAAACGGAAAGCATTTATTCAAACATTTATTGTAGCCAACTTACTGGAAGCATGCAGTCAATATAAGATGAAGAAAGTCTTATTCAAAGATTTACCTACCAGCAAAAAGTGACAGGCTTGTTGATTCTGACTGTAACTTGTACTTACCCTAGATCAGCTGTCAGTTTTATTTTTTTAACTCCTCTTGGAGACACCTTTGCTAGTAAAGAATTAAATCCTACCAGTAATATTGATAACTTTTACAGGAAAAAAAAAGAAAAAAAAAAAGGATCTACTCCCAAATACTATGTCAAGAAAACGGGAATTCAGTTTACAAAGAAGAGACTTACAACCAAAGTAGATTAGAAAAGTAAAAGATTCTGAACTTGTTCTTCACATGTTTTCAGTGGCACCAATCTTCCAGTGCAAAAATGCTCACCTTTGCTGACCTGTACTCAGAGGAGTCTGTCAGCTTATTTACCTTTTGCAAGCTCCAAAACATTTAAGCATGTATGCTAGTTCATGCTTTTACTGAGACAGTTCAGGCCTTGAAAGGTACCTATGCATTTATGAGCTTAGATGCACATGGACTTGCATATTGGACTTGCAATGTCCTTGCAATATCCTTTATTATTAAGCAAAAAGTTTGGAGCATCAAAAAAAAAAGGGAGCCCTAGTTTAAATTCACTAGTGGAAGAAGAGCACATTCACTCTTGATGTTTTTCCTATTTCTGCCCTCCATTCTGTAAAGCAAAAAAACATCTTGGGTGCAAAATCTTTGCAACTTTTGAGACTGCTTTTTTTTTCCCCCATTTCTTAAGGTAAAAGAAGAAATAAATTCCTGGTACTTATTCTAGGCACATCAAACAAAATTAAAGGAATAGAGAAGGCCTAGGAGCCTGCTGTGACCTATTGCATTTACACATGTATCTTTTGGTTTCCCACAGTTCCTCTACAGGGATCAAAGACTTTCTACTCGGTATGGCACTTGGATTTCAACTGACTAGTGAAGGCAGATGGGGAGACAGAGCAGAATTATCTCATTTAGTTTTTTTTTAAGCTAATTTGGTAATCGAATAGTCAAAACAGACTGGTCTCTTTCTATCATGAATCTGTACAGGAAATAAAAGTGAAATACCCCTTAAGGATCTCACACAATAAGAAATAAATCCTTTTAGGATCTCGACCTGAAACCAAGATGAAAGGCCACAAAATAGTCTGGTGAATATTGGTAATGATCTGATAGAATTTTAATAATTTTTCATCCACTATAAGCTAAAAAATATAAAATATTGCAGTTACACAGCTGAGGATGTTCTGTAGCCTATAATGTGTAACCAATTTTATTAACGCTGTATATTCTTAAAACACTTTATATTAACACTGTAGTCTTAAAATACACAGTTTTTAGCCTGCTGCATTTTTTTCAGCAAAAAGAGTCTGCTTACATAACACCCAAATTAATTCTAATTTGCCACTGCTTTCACCCAAACTGACTGTCTCTGATCCTGAAAAAGTTGAGTCTAAAAAAGGCTCGACTAATTTCTCTTTCTACACAAACTTTCCAAATTTGTGTACTATCATCTGAAGACATAACTCCAAAAAAAAAAAAAAAAAAACACATAACACATTCTCACATTCCAGAAGGGTAAAATGGCAATTTAGTTACCCACAACCTTGGCCCCTAAATATTTCTTTCATATGCACAGTCTGAGTAATCTTAAGTAAGTATATTATAAAACAATAATTGTTATTAGTAACTGAGGTTCCCAGAAAAGATAGTCACCTTTTTTTTTTTTTTTTCCATCAAATTATCCAATTATTGAAACTAGATAATGAAAGTCAAGAGGGACATTGCCACTTCCTCTACAACCAATCTTGTGCTGTATATTAAGGTATTTTACGTTTATTCAGAATGACATGGAAAGGCTTTTGGAAGTCCATTTAGTTTTGGTCAAGCTAAAGCTTGACTGCACTCCTTCTCTAGTTATATGAATTTTTATTAATACATAACACTACTTAAAAATGTGATGCAATTACATCCATCAGATACTACAAACTAAAAAAATGTTAAGCATGTTAATTGAGAATCTGAATTTTTGTTTTGAATGATATTGCTTTAAGAAGAGTTCATTTAATTTTAAACAAATTAAGCCTTAAACTTACGTAGTGTAATGAAAATAGTTAAGAAAGCAGCTGTCATAACATGCCTATGCAAAATAATTACTAAAACTCAGAAGGAGTAGTCATTACTGAAGAACAATTTTAAGGATTTTTTTTGTACAGTCGGAAATCTTCATTGACCCAAATACAAAATGTTTGTATCACAAGCTTTGCTGCAGACATAACCTGTTGTTGCAGGAAACCTAGACATTGAACAGGGGAAATTTTAGGGATAGATGACTGTTACTTATACACATCTACCATGTGACAAACTATTATGGCATAAAAATAAAAGATAGTTTTGACAGCATAGTATTGTCTTGTTGGACACTGGCTTTTTACATACAAAGTCTCTTCCTGATGACCTGCAAGAGCTACTCATGTATTAAGCTGACCATAGCATATGTGTAAAGTATATGTCTTAAGAGCCCTTTTGCTGTGCTAAGCATCACAAGTGCTGTATTTTGCAACATTTGGTCTTTTCCTCTGCTGTTTCTCCCCTGGGTTTCTGAGAGGCATCCCTTAGGCAAACAAAACAAAGCAGAATGAAGTTATCAGGGAAAGACACCTACTTGATTGCATGGTTCTGGCTGAGATTTCCGCTGTAGAAGCGCCCAGGCCTTGCGGAGAGCGGGCGGCTAGGCGGAATAAATACAGGCTGTTTGGCTTCAGTCCTTGTAGGCGGTAAGATGTGGCAGGCTCAGTGGAAACACGTTGCTAAAGGTTAAGCAATAAGACAACCGGATGTCTTGATTAATATTCTTGATTCTGAATTCTTTAGGTTCCCTATAGAAGAAATGCTGCTGACAGCCCCATTGATAAGAATCTAAGGTTGAAATTCAATAAAATGAACCATAACAGAAGAAAAATAAACCCCCAAATTAATACATTACTCATTATACCCTCTAAGAAACAATTTTTTGAACTAGACAGCTTAATAGGTGAAACTTACAGGCAGAAATACTTTGAGAGAGTAATAGCTGTGTAAAGAGTATAAAAGACTTTTCAAACACTAACACATGAACGAACAAATAGTTACCTCTGATGGCAGTGAAATACAGGACTTTATGACGTGAGTAGTCTTGGTAATCTTGAGTAAGTTTAGCCTATAGTTAAATTTGTGTTCAAAATCTTAAGAAGCAAGTTATTCTAAAGCACAAGACATCAATAAGTGCCTTCCTCTGTTTTGAAATACAGAATTTCCCAGACAGTGTTTCTGACAGTGCCTAAATGTACATGCCTGAAGCTGCCACAAGCTCAGGATCATTCGAACCATTAGCAATAATAACACAAGACTGCAGTAGAGTACTGACAATCTCCTGCTGCCACTACCAGTTTCCACTTTTGATGGCGTCGCTTAGTAATATCTTGCTTCTTTCCTTTTTTTTAATATATATGCATACATATATATGTATATATTTATCTCTGTTTCCAGGTATTCATGGAGGAACAGCCTTTGAAAACCAGGATCATTACCATCTGAAACTGCGTGCAACTTCTACAAATGACTCTTTGCAGACAACCACCAAAGCTAACTTTGACAAAATACACGAAGTTTCCACCAGCTAGTGGACATCAAGGGTATTTTTTGATGTCTACAAACTCCAAGTTTACCAATAGGCTGACTGCTCAATTTAACAAGCAGCTTAATATCAAAGTATTTATACTAAAGAAAGTAAATAAGAGATCAATTCTAAGCCACTGCAGCATTTAAAGTTTAACTCTTTTAAGAATTTAGGGTAATTTAAAAGATGTACAACATTTACCTCTTCCCCATGCTCCCCATCTTTGTAAACCAGTTCATAGCTGGAAATAGTATCAGAGCGTGGAGGCGTCCAAGAAAGTAATATACTTGTTTCAGACTCAGGTTCTGCTTTGAAGTTCAATGGCTGGCCAGGCACTAAGGAAAGAGTTGAACAGTATTGCCCATTGTTTATTTGTCCAGTATAACACATATTTTTCAAACTTCTGAAACTATTATCCAAATATTTCAGACAATAACAATTTTATTGAACACATTGAATTTAAACAAATTGTTTAACTGAATTACAAATTAAATTATTCTGAACTCTGAGAAAATATATTTTTAATTTACACATTATGAATTACTAAGAATTTCAATTAAATATTTCAAACTAATTTTTGCACACATAATTGGAAAACAATTGAACAAAAGTCTGGAGAAGAATATCAGAAAGTTTAACCACTGTGTGAAATAGAAAATGCATTTGGATATATAGGTATATGTTGGAAATGAAAGTTTTAAAAAAGATGTAATGAAATAATAATAAAAAAACAGCATTCAAATCATTACATGTGTTTCCAAATGCAGAAATGGTTTGCTCAGTTTACGAGTAATTCAGGTACTATATACAGAAGTATCTCTTCACTAATGTTTTCATCAAGTAAGTGGCATGTTTCCATATTTTTGCTGAGAGATATGTTTATCAATATAGCTGACTTTCTAGTAACCTTTTCTAATTGCAATTACTGAAAATGAAACTTCGACTCTGACAGTCAAGGAAAATCTCTGTTGTTAAGTCTTGTGTAATGAGGTCACAGAGATTATCCAGACTAAATGCTACCCTCATTTACTTCTGTAAATCTACTGCAAATAATGAAGTTGACTAGGAAATGACAAGAAAATATATCCTGCCATTGGAATGTATAGAATCATTTTGGCACCCAAGTACTAAAATATTAGTTTCAGTTAATAGTGCTGTTGATAATGTATGAAACAGTCCTCTGTAGTACTTCTAGCTTTACTTCTAGAATAAAATGCACTATGTCTGATTTTTTTTTCCATAAAGATAATGATGTAATATGATTCTTCACACATACTGAGAATAGGTGTCCTAAGTAGGATGTGATAATAATGACTGTTTTACAGTCACTGTGTAAGTATTCTTCTTTTGTAAACTAGCAGATTTAAAAACGACAGGGAGTGGAAAGTAAAAATAATACATCTTTGTAATTCTTCTCTTCCCCAGATTTTTATGTTCTACAAAGTGTCACTTTGAGTATTTCAGTACTCTTGTATATGTTTGCAGAGATTTGATATATAACATTTAAACATACAGATAACCTGTCAGTATGAGGTATACATTCAATCCATGGAAACCTGTCAACTCCCTACCATTCACTTGTATTTTTAACAGGACAGAATAGAAAAGGAAAGATGTAGGAGAAATGTTGCTTATTCTGGGGGAATGAGTGCAGAATAATAAGCAACCAAAGGCTGTCTTCACAGAAGGAAAAGGCGTAATTGAATATTTTTTTCTGAAAGAAAACCTGATGTAATAAAAGATCACTTCATGGGTTCTGCAAAATCTCAAAATGAAAAAGGTGACAATAAAAAGCACAGGAAACAACTACAGCAAATATCAACATAATTAATTCTAATGGAAAGACATTTAAGCCCATCCTTTTAAAATCAAATGGTTTTAAATTAACAAGGACAGACAAGGATAACTAAAATAATTTCCTAACTTTGAAATTGGTTCCAAATACTACTAAGTCAAACTTTCACTCCACAAGTCCATAGCATACAGCTATACAAACGGATTTATTAGGTGAGCATTACAGGTTTTTAGATGAGCTGCTTTACAACTCTCCTGAAAAACACAGAAATTGATTTGCCTCAAATTGAACACAGTTCAAAGTAGATTTAGAGTTATACTGCAAGCTTTCCCAGGCTTAACAGTAAAATGTGGAGCCCAGAGGGCTATTTGGAAGTCTTCCATTGCCAAAGGTTTGTTCAACTTCATTGGTGTCTCATGAAACTCAAGAGGGTGCTTGAAGCTGTAGGATTTTATTTGCTTCATCTGATGATGTAATACGATAATACCGAATTGTTGAAAAAATACTTTGCTTCAGTGAGTATGATGAAGTAAGGGAAACATATTTCAGCAAAGAAGCTGAGCAACAAAGCTGTCATTGCAACACTACTTGGCCTGTAATCTACATAACACTTGCAAAATCTTCCGCTTCTTTTGGGGTTTTGTAAAAATAAGAAAGGAAAAGCAACAGCTCCTGTAAATTATGCAAGCTCCACAAAGAAAAAAAAAAATCTCACATATGAAATAGCAGCTCGCAAGGACATGATAGATCAGAAAGAGGCCTCAGCAATTTGATAAAATCAGCACAGGTGTCTTAAGAAAGCCCTGAGACGTAAGAGCTTCTCATGCATCAAAAAGCATGCACAAGGACTTGCTTTCCTTCCTCAGGCTCAACCAGCTCTAGTGTACTTTGCTGCCTTATGTGAAACAGCACAATCAGGGACCCAGTGGAGGATCAGTCAGCAAGCTTGTCAGGTCAGAAGTGACACCAAATGGTGGGATAAAATGGAGGTCTCCACTGAACCAGGCCAGAGGGGGACAGAGATGCCTCTCTTTCCTCAGAGGGTGGCCAGCCCTGACAGGATAACTCCTGGAACAACTTGTTTTGCTTCCACAGGTGAGCCTGCTTTGGACATTGGTCTGGAGACCTCACAAGCTCCCTAGCAGCCTCAGTTGTGTTCTGTAGATCACAAGGTATGCCATCCATACATTACCTATAGATATATGAATAGCTATGGCCAGTTAAGGCCATATGCTATGACTCCATATGACTCTATGTTCATAAACAACTGTAATAATAAACTGGGCAGCAGATATAGACTACCAATCATAGTAGCCTACTATTCACTATTATTTTAAAAAGTCAAATCAATAAATAATTGTACCTTCTCAAATAGTGTTTGCGATAAATACTATCTTGCAACAGATCCTAGTCTCCCCTGATATCCTACACCCACAGTTAGTTGGAAAAAAAAAAAAAAGCGAAGGCATGTAAATCCAACAGAGAAGATGGGGAGGAGAAAATCATCACCTGATGAAAGATTCTCATTTTCACTAATACAGAAAAAAAAATCTAGGGAAGCTGGAAAATCCATGCAAGCGGACCTAATAATCTTGTTGAAGCATTAAATAAATCACAATTTATTTTTCATTTCAGTGATATACATGGTCAACTCAGAATGGAATCCTTTTGCATGTATCTTTAGATACAATATTTCAGCACTGCCTTTTTGCCTTACAATCAGTATGCTCTGTAAACATACATTAAAATCCATAGCTTCACTGTGCAGCAAGTATCTTTTTTCTTATTTCATGCTTACAAACAAGACATAGCTTATGCAGCACACACAATAATTCATGATTACTGAGGGACAGAACAGAGTCCAGAATTATTCTTTTCAAACCTATACGCTAAATTCTACACATCTGCTTGCCTAGTCCTTCACATTCATTGCTTCACAACCAGAAACAAATGCAGAAAACTATATGATTGCTTGTCTTCATCATATATAAATAGCTCTATGTTCATCTTTGTTTCATGAGGCAAAATGGGATCATAAAATGGACTGAGGGTCATGTCTCTGTTCTGAGAGGAACAAGGTCATGACAGAAAAAACTGCAACTGAAGACTGAATGTGCTACAAATCTTGATTTTGTAAAAAGATATTCATACTTCTTGAAATACCAAATTCAGATAGAATACAATGAAAAATAAACTTGGATGATGTATTTGGGCACCCTCCTCTCCCTGTGACTTCTTGCTACAGAAATAATCAGATGAGTCTGGAGATTCTTGAGGCTTGCATTTCTGCACTATCAAACAGGAATGACAGGACTGAAAAAAAATAACTACACTACAGTAAAAATGTCTAAAAAGCATAGCACATTTTGTTAAAAATAACGCAAAATCCAAGTCGTTTTTCCTTTCCTTTCCTTTCCTTTCCTTTCCTTTCCTTTCCTTTCCTTTCCTTTCCTTTCCTTTCCTTTCCTTTCCTTTCCTTTCCTTTCCTTTCCTTTCCTTTCCTTTCCTTTCCTTTCCTTTCCTTTCCTTTCCTTTCCCCTTTCCTTTCCTTTCCTTTCCTTTCCCTTCCCTTCCCTTCCCTTTCCTTCCCTTCCCTTCCCTTCCCTTCCCTTCCCTTCCCTTGCCTTGCCTTGCCTTCCCTTGCCTTGCCTTCCCTTTTCTTTTCCCTCTTCCTCTCCCTTTGCCTCTCCCTCTCCCTCTCTCTCCCTCTCTCTCTCCCTCTCCTCTTCTTTCTTTCTAATATGTGTCAATAATAAGGGAGCTTACAAGAGTATAAAAGCTTTGGCCTTCTCAAAAGCTGAGTCAGCACTTCTTGTCTGAATGATTAGCAGACATAATGAAGAGAGCAAAAATAATTCCGCAGAGCACTTCAGTCATATGACTTACTATTACCACACTGTAGTAATAGAGTTATTTTGAATTTATTACAAGCTGACCCCTTTCATACTCAAGTTAATGGTCAGAAATAATCTGTGATGCACATTTCCAACACTCATCAGCATATTTTCGAAACCAGAATTCAGTATACCTATTAATTCAATGCCTGTAGGCAGATACATTTTGTGTAAGAAGTCACCTTTTTCTTTTTTCTTTTTTTTTCCTTTTCACTACTTACTCACTGCATCAAAAAGGAGCAGAATGCAAATGTCAAAAAAAAATACAAACCTCTAGAAATCTCTAGACTAAAGCATATAATAGAAAGAAGAAGGAAAGAGGTAGACAAGACTAAGTTGTGAAAGTGAGCAAGAGAAAAAGGGAGGTGAGGGACACACACACACACACACACAAATGCATTTAGCATTAAGAAGAAAAAGTAGTGAGTTAAAAAGCTTTCAGTGTAAAAATGATATTTAAAGAAGACAAAGCAACCTGCTAACTCAAGAAAAAAAAAGATATTATATAAAAAAAAATCCCATAGCTACATGTTCTTTTGGGTTCTAACCAGAAATAATAAAAAACTATACAGGTTAAGACATGTGTGAGGTTCTCAACATTGTCCTCATCATGCCATTTAAGTAAAATAAACACTGGAGCTCATTGCTTAACCCAAGTTATTTTGCTTCCAGTATAGGGGGCTATCAAAGACTGAAGGGGAACTCTGCCACTCCAAAAACATCCTCCTCCAGGGTCATCCCCAAACCAGCCCTATGCCAAATCATTTCCAGCTGCGCGTTCTCACCCTCTCCCATCCAGCGACCTGCCTTCATGAAATGCTCAGCTGTGAGACGAGCCTCACCGTGGACTTCCAGACACGAGGCTTCCCTGTTCATGATTTCACGAAACATGTAGAAACGTGAGGCTAAGTAGATCTATAAAGCAGCTTCTATCCCATTGCTACCCATTCTTTTCCTCTGGATTTCTAATCTTCTTTCAGAACCCCTAGACCACTAACTCATTTCCTTTAGGCTAAGGCTCTATTGACATATTCTGCAATATTTCTCGCTTTACCTTCATTTAAGAGACAGTCTAAGAGACATTTGACTATCCCATTACTGTCCTTTTTCATTCTTTCAAAGGCTTAGGTTTTTATACCAAAATGGAATAAAATAACATAAAAACCCTCTGCTGCCAGTCCTCAGCCAGACCTTGGCTTAAAGTTAGCAATGTGTTTATATTGCACTTTCTTGGTTTAAATATGCATATATTTACAGATGTACAGGTATATTCTAGATTTTTCTCTCTGTTTTTTTTTTTTTTTCTCTTTCTCCATTAATCTAATTCCCTATAGAGTTTGGAATATCCTTGACTTTCCTTATTTCTGCCTAATCCAGGAAACTCAGGATAGAAACATATTCTCTAAATCATTAGAATAGCTATACTCTCTTTATGTATTGAAATTAAAATAATAAACTATAACCCCCAAACAGATTAAAGCTCAAGGATTTTTCTGACATATAAAGTATGTTACTTAGACAGTATGTGTAATGATCATACTGAGCAGAGAAAGGAAATGTGAGGAAATACCTAAAAAGTGCCCTGGGCAGCTGAAAAAAGGCCGAACAACAGAACTTTTGTTTTCTGTAGCCAAGTAAAAAAGGAATATTACAGTAAAGCTTACAGAGATACATCTTTATTCCAAAATCTGATGTTTGTGTGTCATTTCTCCTCAAAAACACACAGTGCTGGGCTTTGCCTCAGCAGGATCAGCTTCTTTGGCACAGGGCACAAAGTCACTCCGAAGTGCAGACTGAGTAACTGCAGCTTTGCTTTTCCAAAAGGCTCAGCTCTCTAGCTGGTTTTTGTGGCTGAATTTCTTGAAATGTGTTTTTATGGTTGAAAACCACTGCTGAAAACAGCAGAAAAAAAGGACACAGCTTTCACTTAAATAGAATACTGGGGAATACTGGGGATCAGGTTCTGAACATAAATTTGTATTTTTTAAATTTTGTTTGTTTTTGAAAAATGCTTACTTCCTCCCCAAATTGCATATTTCTAGTTTACATATTTATTTAGATATCTAACCTTCCTGTTCAACAGTTTTTGGCTGACCTGCAAAGTGAGATCACTCACACCATCTTTTCAAAAAAACTATTCTACTCTACTAAAAAAAAAAGTTTTTAAGAATAAAATTCTTAATTTGTATACTCTCTCGCTCCAAAAATCAGAGTAAACATAAGCAAGAAACCAAGCTAATGGTGGCTTTAAGTAACAACTGCCAATCAGATACATTGTATCTTAAATATAGATATCACATACTACTATATATACACTCAAATATCCCAAAAGAAAGCATTGTTGTACCATATTTACTGATACATTTATTTCTGTTTAAATTTCACCAAAAGAAAAATAAAATCTTTGAATCATAACCTAATTAGTATCTCATTCCTTTTCTATTCTCTTACATATCTTTCCATTAAATCCTTTTGGTGAGAGACTTAAACCAAAATAATTTTATCCAGAGTAAGATTACAAGAAATCTAGAAGATGAAGGAATTTTATTCTGCAGTGTTCACTGAAAAGAAACTGCCATACTGAATGACTTATTCCCTAAGAGAAGATAGGGGAATTCCAATTTTTGGTTTACATTCAGCACTGTTTTTTAAAGATATCCTGAACTGGAGGATTTTCTTATCTTCCTTTATGTTATAATACTTTAAAAAATTTAATTCTTTCAAGCACTTAATAGCAGCATTTAAAAATACTTCATCTGCTAGTTTTTATAAACACAATCTCACATCAACTCTGCCAAGTCAACCCTGTGATGAAGTTAAAACACTTGCATTGAGAAACCCTCCCATGTTGTCTTAATGTCTTGGGGTTATTGCAGTAACCCAAAACAGAAGGGCATGTCTACCGGTGAGTCCTATAAATGTTTTAGCAGAGCTTTTCTGAAGGGATGAGGACAAGACACTTATTGGTCCAGCCCAACTGAGCCTCACTTTTTAAAACGTTTTTAAAATGCTCCATATTTCTCTGCAGAGGCCACTGACAAAGGTTCAAGGTTGTAAATTGGAGCACAGATGAAGAACTCACTAAACTGTGATCTTAGAAGACTTTTGAACATGGATTCAGAAAGAAAAGAGACAAACTAGTCTCTGATAAAGGATACAAAAGCCAAAATTAAAATACGGTACATATATACACATATATGCATACAGGCACCATGTCAAGGAGCTCTTGAAAAATTAATTCAGTAACCACTCATTTAAGACACTGTGAAAGGCAACACTCAGACCTTTGTGTAACACACAAGCAAGGTAACAGTGGAATTTCTGTTATTCATTAAATGCATGCTAATATCGACTTTGAATCAACTGATTTGCATGCAGAAGTAAAAGCTGGATCCAGTATAACCGTATTCAGCTATACTTCAGCAACATACATATTTTTTACTGTATTTCTACAACAGGAACTTTCTAGTACTGACTGCAAGCACTATTATAAAATTTTGTTAGGCATCACTGGCCTACAGTAATACCTCATACACCTCTCTCTAAATCACTAGACAAAGGAAACTTTTATTCCTTACTGCTATAATAAAACATTTCCTGCAGTTTAGCTCCACCAGAATTTCTGGTTTTTGATTTCATAAAAATTCTCAGCAATGTATTTCACTATGCTTGCTAGCATTTGCTAATAAAACTAATTCATGGACCTAAAAGTCCTGTACAGAAACAAAGCAGCCCACCTGCAAACATAAATCAAAGAAATGGTTAGGTTGTTTTCTAAGCAGAATTGTTGTATACTCTTAGTGGGGTGGGGAAACTAGGATTTGATCAATAAATCAAAAATGTACAAAATTCCCGGTCTGAATGCACCCGAGATCTCTATGCTTTCATGTTTTCTGTGTATTGATAGTTATGTGAACATGCAGCAGGACACAAATATTTTGATTTCCAAAACACAATTTACTAGAATAAGGTGGTAGAGGGGACAACCCACAATCTAAATAAAAAACAACACTGCAGAAAGACTTTAATGAAACCTGTGAAAAACTACTTAACTGGTGTACAACAGCACAGCCAAGCAGCAGCTGCAGCATTTGGGCACCTCAAGAACGACAGTTCCAAGAGAATACTATTGCTGCAGTTAAAGTTCTTGAGACTGATAAAAAATCAAAAGAGTGGAAAATTAAATGTGTGTGAGGAGGGATAAGGTCCTCTTGTCAAAGAAAACCTGTACTGTGTATTTGAGAAAAGGTGATGTGCAAAAGCAGCCCCAGGAAATTGTGGCTACTTCTGACAGCTAATCATTTCTGAACATTAGCAAACTCAAAACACAGCATTTCTGCATGTATTTAGGTTTTTTTTTTCTCAAATTCTGTACACTGCTGGCTTACCTCCTGTTTGAGTGATGACTTGAATGTCACTAGAAAGCGGTCCATCCCCAACAGAAGTAAAGGCAAGAACCTTCACGGAGTATGTTTTCTGGGGCACTAGGTTGCCAATAGTGGTAATGTGGCTGTCGGCCACATTGTGTTTTGTCCAGCTGTTGACATGTTGAGTGGGGTCCATGGTGTAATAAACGCGGTAGCCTTGTATTTGTCCGTTAGGCTCCTCGGGTTCTTCCCACTGCACCAGAATGGTGGTAGAGCTCAGCATACGGGCTTGCACATTCCGTGGTGCACTTGAAGGTGCTTGCTCAGAGGTCCTGGTGGACACGGGCTCGCTGGGAGGACCTCGTCCAATGTTATTGACAGCAACCACCCGGAATTCGTACTCTGAATAAGGGCTTAGGCCAGCTACGCTGTAGCGTGTTGTGGCCACCCCATCAATTTCTTTATATGGCTCCTCAGAGTTTTTGGGTTTGTGTTGGATTATGTAGTAAGAGACTGGCTCCGGGTTTCCAGAATCCCAAGTCAAGGTTATGCTAGTTGCTGTGCTTTCTGTCACCATGGGAGTTCCAGGAGGTTTGGGTAAGGCTAAAGACAAACACCAAAAAATACAATCAGGACTACGTAATACCAATTATTACGCATTGAAACTTAAAAAAAAAAAAGAAAAAAAAAAGAAAAAAAAAGATTGAAATGGAGAGGAAGTGTTCCTTTATTTCCTTTATTTAGAATTTAATTTTTTCTTAGCACTCTTTCGGCAGTTGTGATTTATTCCAGAGGCCTATGAGAAGACCTTCTACAACAAAATGCTTTCATATAAATCCATGATTCTGACTTTCACATGAGGTCTCTAGAGCATACACAGAAAAATGCCTTTACAGAGAGACAGTGCAGCACCACAGTGTGATTCTTGGATGTGTTTGGAGCACTTGTCACTTGTTTTCCAGTCACACAGTATATATTGTACTTAGACTCCCACCAGCCACAAAAACCAAATGACTGGTTTTCAGACTCTTGATGTTGACAGATATGTGAGATGGTCCTTCATTTACTTAAAATAAAGGCTAAAAGCTAAACACAAGTGAATGATGGAATGCTACAATTAATTTATTGATTAGCACTGTCTGAATCTTTTTTTCCTGGATATGCCAGTGATGGTCAGAATGATTACTTTCTTGATTTAAGAAACACATAGTCTTTTCAGTGCAATATATTGACTCTGAATATGGAGAATGAATGAAAGATTGAAGCAAATCTCAGCATATACCTTTGACAGTTATCTGTGCTATTGCTTCTATAACACCAAGTGTAGACATAGCAACACAAGTATAGTTTGCCGACTGCCTGACATCATTAAGCTCAAGGACGTTCCTCCCTATTGGCATATCATCTTCAGGTGTCAAATCTTCTGCTCCTAGCATCCATTTCACATATGGCATTGGTGACCCCACCGCAACACAGGTGATATTTACACTCCCGCCAGGCATGATCTCATGATTGGTAGGGGGTATAGAGAACCTCGGTGGGACCCGTCGAACTGGAACAAAACACAGAAAAACGTAATAACATATACAAAAAGAGAAACTGAGTCTTGCATATAGACTACATGCAGTGTACAGACACAATTTAACATTTTAATGAATTATTATGATCTGCCAGAAAATATATATAAAAGAAATACATAACTAAACAAGAATATTGTCTGCACACGATGTGAATTATTCTATATTAACTTGAAGATATTACTAGGCACATTCACACAACAGCTGTTTCAGACCTATTAGGGCTCCACAGTTAACTAGCTATATACTAACAATACACAAACACCATGCAAAAGATACACACACACACGCGCGCACACACACGCATGGGCGCGCGGGCACGCGCGCGCATACACACACACACACACATATATATGCATGTATTTCATAAGCGTATACATACATATATGCACAGAAAAAAACTGGAGGGTCAACAGCATGCTAGAGTTGAGTACCAAAACCAACTTCAATGCTGCGTACTTCCAGTTGATGTGAATAAATGTGCCAGGCCACATCGACACATCACAGTCCTGGAACACATTGCCTACAGTACACTGAATGTGCAATTAGATTTGCTTTCAGACTCAAAAGTGGATGCAGCCTCAAGACCTCACACTAACACTGAAACAAACATAGAAAATATATATATATATATAATTACACACAGATACAAATATATATATATATACATATATATACATATACATATATTTATATATATATGTAGTCACAGAAAAGGAACTAGACAAGGCCAGTACAAAGTACTGGATTTTTGTCATGCATGCAAGCAAATGGGAGAATTGACAGAGAACCATGCTGAGGAAAATGTTGGAGAGTAAAAATGGTGGGAAGAAAAGGAACTAAACTCAGAAAACATAATGGATGAGGAAAGAAAGCGTAAAAGAAGTGGAAATAGGATAGGCTGACAGAAACAGGAATTTAAGAGGAGGATAGAGTCTGAGGGAGAAGGAAATCAAATCAAGTTGAGGTGGTTAAAAAGCAACTGTTAGGCAAGGCCACTGGGAAAATAGCAGAACATTTAACACTCAGGATTCCACTGTGCTCACAATTAAGGGAAAGCAAAGTCAGCTATAAGGATCAATAATATCAGACATCTCTGCGTTGATAGTAAGGGGCAGCAGACCTTAAACACATAGCAGGACATTGCACTAACAGAATAGTTATTATTTAAGCAAACACAACACCGAGAAAATTACCAGGCAATAACAGATCAGTGTTCCTGCTTCAAATACTCTCAGTGGTGTGCGTGTGTGTGTGGGAGGCAAAGAGAGAGAGGTGGCTGAGAGAGGTAGGTTTGTATTTAGGCCTTTCATTGGAGAATGTACTTTAAACTGTATTTATTTGGGCTCAATAGAGGCTAATCATAGGCACGGCTTTAATTCAGCAAAAATAAAAGTAAAATAAAAGACTATGAGTGAGTAGAAAAAAAGAACAATAAACACCGTATTAGTCTGAAACCTTTCCAATGGGTTTAGTTAAATTTCTGTGATCTTCTATGGATTCAAAAGGGCTTACTGCGATGGCCTCATGAGTGAATGACAGGTAGAAAGGGAACAAGCAAAGAGCAAAACATGCCGTAAGCGGCCAATTCAGAGAGGCCACACAAAGCAAGCGGCAGGCAATGAGGAATTTGTTGTGTTGAACAGAATCCTTATAGACATAGGAGAGTTTAGTCTTCATGCTTGGGGTGTTTATAAAAGCGACTGCAAGAAACCATTCTTTGAGAAGCAGGCATCAGTATAAACAAGAAAATTAAAAGGGAAGAAAAAAGCAGGAACACTGACCAACTTTACCAGACACTAGTGTTAAAGCTAAAAAGGTTGCCATGCATCCAGGCTCATTCTCTCTTGTCATGCACAACAGTTAGATACTAGCACTCATCAAAAGCCATGAACAGGGCATTCTTCGCTTAAACGTAACATTAACTTAAAAAATGCCACAATGCTGCTACATTCATTTCATTTGTATTCTTTGTTATTGGTTTAATTAAGAGTTTTGTAAGGTGGGTAAAAAGTAAAAAACACACCAACCTTCTCGCAGCTCTGAGGGATGTAGGGGGTTTGATGCAGAACACAATGAAATGAGGAAAGGAGAAAAACAAGGGAAACACAGAGAGAGTAAAAAGGCCATATCAAGGCTTTCAACGGCTACTTGAACATCTCTACTCGTTCTAATTAAACCTTCCTACCTCATCTTGAAAAGTTAGCATTTTTTCCACAGCTACAACGGTGTTAGAAACAATAACTAGCATCATTTTGAAATTTTGCTTTGGATAAAAAGGTATGCATGCCTCATGCAGTACAGGAAAATCAGTACGTTGGAGAAGAAAAATAAAAAAAAAAGGATCAAATAGCTTTCCAGGGATGTTGCAACTAAGAAACCTTTTTTATTTTTTATTTTTATTTATTTTTTATTTTTTATTTAGCCAAAAGACTTAGAACATACCAAACAGAACAAGCTGTTTGAAAAATGAGCTCTGACAAAAATTTCAAAATCAAGCTAGGTATTTTTGGTAAGCTCATCTACCCTACATTGCAATTTACAGCTGCTTATGTTTTCAGCCCTATTTCCCCCACCCATCCCTTTATATTGTAAACACACACACATATATGTATACATATGTATGTACGTATGTATGTATGCATACAGCTAACAAGTTACAGCCTTTATTGCACAGAAAAAATCTACAGCTGCTGGAAATACTGCCCGAAAGAAAGTCCTTCTTTCTATTTAAACCAAAGACATATTTTCATAAGTTAAAAAAATTAACCATTTCTACTACTTTACAGATGAAAGTAATTGCTTCCTTTTTAATCATGCCTGTTACACAGACAGCTCATTTTTTTAAAAGATATTGCCAATTAACCACTATTCTGACACATGCTACACTCACAAGTCTTACACTAAAGTTAATAAATATATATATATATACATACATATATATAAAGAAGATATAGAAAAGAAGAAAATACAGTCGTGCTCTGCATAAACGTTATTTTATAGTTAGAAGCTTGTCCTTTGCAATTAAGAAGCAGAGATCAGGTAGGCATACACCTCAATGCCTTGGGTTACACTCAGAGCTGATTAGTAGCACACCGAGCAGTCACCTCAGGAGTTTGAAAGAAAAGAAAAGAAAACAACAACAACAACAACAAAAAAAAAACAGTAACAGAAAATAAATGCAAAGCACATTCTAACCCAATGCAGGAAAAATAGAAGTCAAGATGTAAAAATATAAATATACTTACAAACCTTAACCCACAGGATAGACTGGACTCAAGAGGGCTTAAAAAAAGCAAAACAAATCCCAACCCTTTCTTCTACATTTTAAAATATATTTTGCTACTGACATATTTACCATGGCATTTGATTTTTACAGTGGTAACTGCACAGATCCTGAGAGTATCTTATCAGCCCTGAACCTGAATGAAACGTGGATGTCAGGGTTATGTCATTCCTACCTCTGACATATAGATTGGCAGGGGCAGAATAGCGTGTACCCGCACTGTTGGTTGCAACACATTCATATTTGCCTTGGTCAGATTCTTCACTGAGTTCAATTTGGAGAGCACCTGTATACATATAAAATACATTGCCAAAGAAACAGTCAGAGAAGGCTTTTTGTAACCATAACAATATACCGCTTAACAATATGAAAAGCTTGTATGCGAAGGTCCACTCAACGTCGGTTCACTTTCTTGCTAAGGTGCACAGACAGAAAATGATGCAATGAAAAAAACAAAGAGATTATTTTTTTCACATCATCAGTGCTAGCACAGGAAAACAATTTTCATTTGGCAAAACAACCCCTCTCTAAACAATACGTTCTTTCCTAGACCATTAAAATGAAGATGGGTGAGACTGCTTCAAGGAAGAATGGCTTTTAAATTAAACAAAAGAGATTAAGTATTTGGGTCATTATAGATTTTTGATTTTTATTTTATTGCTTTGATTTTGTAACAAAAGTAGTACAAAAGGTGGTACTCGCAAAAAAGCAGGACAGGCTTCAAGAACTCTTCTGCTGAAGAAAGCCAAAAATGTGCAGCAAGAACCAAAAAGGCTGCTTGAAGTGAAAAAAAGAAACCACATTAGTTATTTATAATTATCAAAATATTCTCTTAAAGAAACAAGACTCCCTTAAGACATGCAGATTGGTAAGAAAAGAAAGACAGTTTTCCACAACTTACAATCTTAAAGTACGCTTGCTGAAAAACAAAGAGCAGTTGAATTAGAAGATAAAAATGTTAAAAAGCATGGTCTATGCCAACAAGGAAGAACCAACCAACCACTGCTGTGGACCATAGAAGGGCCCCCCCCTCAGACACCCATCAAAATCCACAAGTGGGATTAGCAGTGTGGTGTCACAAAACCCAAAAAAAATACAAAACAAGAATTACAAAAGAAGTCAACATTTTTGCCAAAGTATCAAAAACCAACAATACCACATACCACCAAGAATTAGTCATCAACCTTTCAGTTCCAAAGCCTGTAGATTAGAAGTTCCAAAAATCCAGAGATGAGATAACTCCAAGAAAAAGAAAACCAAAAAAAAAAAAACAACAAAGGAGGAAAAAACATTTCTGCAATCTTGTAGGGGGGGAAACGGTTTTCAACTTTATGAAGTTAAAAGAAAAAAAGCATTGAAGAAGAAAGAACAAAAACAAAAACCTTATTTGAAAGATAAGATAAAAAGAAGGTAATCCATGTTGTCTTCTGCATGTCTGCTACTGTTCTCCAGACCATCTTGGCTTTGGTCCAGGACAAGAACAGCTAAGGAAGAAAAAAAATGATCTTTTTTTGCTCCAGTTGGGAAAAAAAAAAAAAAAAGAAAAAAGGAAGGAAAAAAAAGAAAAAAGAAAAAAAAAGAAGAAAAAGAAGAAAAAGAAGAAAAAGAAGAAGAAGAAGAAGAAAAAGAAAAAAGAGGGACAAATGGTACGCTGTGACTGGGCTATGGCCAGAAGACCAGGATATGCTTTCTTTGAAGCATATCACAAATTAAATTATCATTTCTTTATTTTTTTAATGAACAAACAAAAAAGGGAAAGGAAAGGGGATTGGGCAGAAAGAAAGGTCACAATATGAGAGTCACTGATCATAACCAAACTGGACAAAGGAAAAAAAAAAATAAGATGATGAACATTTCTGTGTTTTTTTTTTTTTTCTAAAAAAAAAAAAACAACAGGACAAACATGAGATGGATGAAAGGACAGAAAGAATGAGTAAGATCATTCTGTGAACGTTAGTTCAGCACTCTTACCTCTTATTGGTGTACCACCTGGGTGGATAATATGAATGCAAATAAGATTAGAAAGAAGAAGCATTAGTACGAGAAGAAGGAGGCTAGGGCTTTGGAAGAAGAATCAAATTAGATTTACAGAATTAAATAAGGTCTTAAGAGAAACTTTTACTATACTGTTAAAACAGGAATATATTAGATAGTATTATCAGGTTATAAAAGCAAGTTGCATTGTACCACAAAGGGCAAAGGCTACAATTGGCTGCACTGCCATTCTCAGAGTAGCCTCTGAGCTCTTACGGGTTTGGTTATATTGGGTTAGATATATATTGAATATCCCTCAAGTACTTAAAGGAAACTTCACAATACTGTACTTATTACATAATTTGGGAAAATACAGGATATTTTATATTCTATTTAAATATATATATATATAAAATCTATATATATATAGAAAGAGAGGATACACTGAAGGTTATCTGGAAACAAACACTGTAGTTTAGGCTGGATTATGGCATTTACTGTGCTACATCTATGTGATAAATGTGTATTGTCTCATCTAGGTGTTGCTAGTACTGATACGACAACATTTCTGTGGAGGTGTGCGTGTGCGCCACTAAAAGGATCTGGTGACTACACTGACTGTTAGTAAAATGCATGCCATGCATTTTAAGAATAATAATAGTAATCATAATATAATAATAATAATAATAATCTGAATATGAAAATTAGTGGGGTGAAGTGCGCTTCAGAACTAAGCACTTACCAATAGATTCTGGAGATTTAAATACGGAGAGAAGAAAGACAGCATAAAAATATTATTATATTCCTTATAATTTGGTACAAAGTTTTCAGTTAAAGCTTTATATACTAAATCACTATGTTACATGTGAAAAATTAATTCTTAATTTACATTAACAGAAGGTTAATTTACACAGTTCTGCTGACAACAAGCAAAGAGTCAGTTAACAAGACGATTTAACATCACAGGACAGGTCAAAAGCTGAGAATTTTGGGAAGACACGTGATTAAACAACTTAGATTCTACAATGATATCTACTACAATTGCCAAAGACAAAAGTTCATTATATCCCCATTATATTACTTAGGGATAAAGTTTAAGCTTTATAAATTTAGAGGCTTTTTGTTTTCATTTTTTGTTAATCTGAAGAGAGCAAAAGAATAAACTAGGGTGGGAGGAGAGTGAAAGGACTGCTAGGGAGGTCCAAGGGGCAAAGAGAAATAGAGCAGCAAAAGCTGGATTCTACACCAAAAGCAGGCTTCTGTAGATCCAGACAACATAGGATTCGTAAAGCTTTGCATGGGCGCGCACTACTGTGGCTAAATGTGTGGAAAAATGCTCAGCCAGAAAAACAAATAAAAACAAAAACAAAACAAATCTTAATTCCATAGGTTACCCAAGAATTTTTTTTAATTTCCTTTTTTTTAAAAAAAAAAAAAGATATAATTGTGCAGGGGAAAAAGTATTGTGTTTTATGTACTTGTGAGAGGAAAGAAGATGTGTCCAAACTGTCTAATCTTTGGTGGAGTCAAATGTGGAAAAGACAGCACAAAACACATTTAAAGTTTTAATTAAAGTGTCTAATATGCAGGTTTTGGTTTTGATGAACATAACCATTGGCACTCCTTGCAATATCTGAATGAAGTCCAATGTTGAAATAAATTTGTTAAAAAAAAATTAAAAGGAAAGAAGAAAGAAAGAGGAGAAAATGGATCTATCAAGTACTGCAAAAAGCAGTAAAGAAAAAAATTACCAAAAAGTACAGTCACAGCAGTGAGCAATGTGGAGTAAACAGAAGCTGCAAAACACACTGACAGACTCTAGAAAAGGCTATGACAACATCACAGACATGGACAACACACTCAGTAACACAGAAAAGAGAGGAGGAAGAGAAATTATTACCTATAAATAAAAAAAAATTAAAAAGGAAAGAAGGAAAAGAAAGAAAAGGTGAGAGAGAACAACTCTGGGCGTTAGTGGAAACAGTAACAAGACCCTACCTGATCGTAACTGCTTGATGCGGCCGTTGTTGTTGCTTGTGTCGACAGGTAGGAAATCCTTGAACCAAGTTATTTCAGGATCAGGATTGCCACTGGCTGCACATAGCATAGTAGCTGTACGAGTCCGTTCAACCACCTTCAGCTGTGGACCCATATCAATGGTGGGGAAACCCCTGGGAATCTGATCCTCTGCAAAACAAATGCACGATTATGCAGGATTTCATTTTAGCTTTCTAGTGACTCCTGAAAAGCCTGCCTGCCTGACTGTTTATCGTGAAAACAACCCCTAGAAACAATCAATATTCAAAGAATTGAGGTAAAAACAGACCCTCAGGCAGTATTTTGGTCACTTACAGTGGTCCACATGTCGATACAAAATGAAAGCTCCATAAAACAAGCAGATTTTAGAATTACTTATACAAACTTTACAATTAGCTATAAAATGAATTGAAACAGCTTAGACTCTCCATATTGTGAATATTCATTTGATTTCCACTAAAACATTATTTTTTAACCAAGATGTTGCTTGGTAGTATGTGGAATAGTGTGAAAAATTCCCTTCTTCCTGTCAGATAAGCACAACAAGAAGCATGACGATGCATCTGGGATCTCGCCCAGAAATCAGCTAGTACTTTTGTTTTTTCACAAAATACCTATCTGTTGTTGGTCTTAACATTTAACATGTGTGTTACGGGCATCAATCACGGATAACAGTGCTTTACAACCCCAGAGAAGTACTGTGAGTGTGAAAGTATTTCGAGTTTGCAAACCACTGAGATACACAGACTTTGTGGCTATGCAAGTATCAAACTTCAGCACTTTTAAGTCAATACAGTTATGTTAACCAAATCACTCTGTTACAGTCAAAAACACTTGTCCTAGTGTTGTCAATAGTGAAATATCACCTTGAGAAATACTGAACAACTGCAATTAGCCCTCTTAGAACCACTCATTCTAGCAGGTAAGACGAGAAGCACAGGAAGAGTTATTTCATGTCAACTTTCTTTGCATGGAAACTGCATGATCTTTATAAATAATGTCAGGGAAGTCTCCAGTTTTTTTGAAGAAGGTGTAGCAAGAAATTGTACCCAACTTGCTTTGCAGTCGCCAGGGACATAAACAGACTTAAAATAAATAAATAAAAATTGCTCTTGTATAGTCAGCCTAGCTCCCTGTAAGCCTGCTTTGCTCATCACAGCCAGTATCTCTACCAATCAGTGGTAAGTGTCAAATGCTTCACTAGCTATAGGCTCTTCTCAAATTAATGTACATTACAGATCCATTTATAAACACAAAGTCTTTACTTTGGGCAAAACTGACAAGATTTGACTTGTGACACAGATTAAGTGTTTAAATGCATTTTCACGACCTTTCGTTTCTTAGCTCCTAAAGAACACTCCTGAGTCCCTTTTGCAGATACACAAGTACACAACAAAGATAATCTATGTTGCATACTAATGAGATGGAGTAATAATGAGCTTTCTTTTCTTATTTTTAATAAGGGTAATTAAATTCCATCGGTCCCCCTTATGCATAGAACCTATTAGAATGAATGCTCTTCATTAAATTTTCATGAGAAATATCACAATGTAACAAATTCAAATACCCAGAACTGTTGTACTTTGACAGTTATGGCTTATTTCCAATCTGGTTTTCAGGTATTTGGCAATAAAACCCAAAATTCAATGTAAAATGGACTGGGGAAAAAATGGAATTTCTAATTGGAATGCTTATCTCAGTGGATTTCATTTTTAAAATGTTAATTGCTTTTTTTCCCCCTAAATTTATTAGTGATTTGTATAAAACTGTCCTTACAGTTTCATGACACCAAGTTTGACAGATCACCAAACACACTGTGCAACACAGCTGAGCATCATATCAATGAGCAACCGCCTCTCAGCCGCAGTAATAGAGGAAATAAGTATCACAAATTTGTGATATATTGGTAGTTTTACGATTTTACACAAGGTGAAAAGAAAAATATTTTCTACTACTCACTAATAAGCTTATTCTAAATTGCAGTATATACCACTGTTTCATATGAATATTCAGTTGTAGTGAATTAGTTTCTAATTCATCCACAATTTAAATCAGACTTGACCTCAACACCATTTGATACTGTCATTTTGAGAGGCCAGCAAAAGGCAGATTACTTTGTCCTTGTGCTTAGTGAGTCGGATATGTAAGCATATTTCGTTTAGAAAGGCAGATACAATATGGCTTTATCTGAATCTGTTGGGCATTAGGTGTCTTACCATGAGTCACTATGAATGCTACATTTCTTTGTAGGTATTAAAGCTATTCTAGCATCATTTCCAATTGCTGGGAGAGCTCTATAAATTCAAAAAGCTACATGATCTAAACTATAGATTAAGGCAAAGACTGCTTACCCTTACAAGAGTATTATATGAAACTGTATTTCTTTGTTTTCTAATAGGGTGGTTCTTGGAAGGTATTTCTAAACCTCCTATTCATGCCTCAGTCTGTTTGCTCATATGTAGAAAAAAATTATCTGAGACTTTTACCTCTATTGCAAGTTATGTCAAGTGCTTCCCTTCTCAGCTACATTATGGACAAAGCACTTTAATCTCTATTGCCAAAACATAATTTAGTGTGATGTTGCACCTGGGTTAGAGCTCAACTTGCCTTCACCAAAATACAACATTATTTACACTAGTGGCTCAAACTCAACTTGTGCATAAGTAGTAATTTTGAAGATATGGCATTTTAGAATATCGTCATTTCAACTTAAATTAGGATGTATCAAAAAGAAGCGATACAAAAAAAGAAGACTTAGTTTAATTGGGTTTCTGTATTTTTCTTTGTTTTACCTGAAAATTCTGTTTTCAGCACAGATTTGTTCAATAAGCACTTTTTCTTCCAAAAACACACTATATGTTTTGCTGACAGTGTACAACTTAAAATTTTCACAAAAGGAAGTCTGCCCAGAGCTCCTTTTCTAGTGGCAAGTGCAAACATGGTATTCTCAATAATTGTAATTTCTGTAGCACAATTATTTTCTTTTCCTTCCCCCTCTCCTGTATTTCTACACTGCAATCACAAGATGACCCCATTCTGAAGGTTGTTATCTTGCCTGAAATCATGCACTAAAAGAACTAATATATTTTTCTATAGGACTGTTTTTAATGATTCCAATACCTAAGTGCACCAGCTACAGAGGATTCTCCTCCTCTTGGCCTACAGATTGTTCCCTTATCAGAGCTCCTCAGAAGAGGCAGTTATTAACAGTAAAAGGTAGCATCAGAAATAATCAGAAAATACTGAATTGAATCCAGCCATCATCTGACTACGTGTCCCTAAAGCAGAATCTATAAAGCATATACCTAGATGAATATGCTGTAAGATGTAGTCGAAAGGAGTAATTCTCACGTAGCATGTGTTTGAAAATAATGCATTATCTAACAGGAACCATCAAAAGTCAAGGGTATACTAAGATGTTAAGGAAGTTTCTTCACAGATTGTATGAATCAAGGAAAAAGAAACAGCTTCCAATTTCATCACTGAAGATAGATAATTTCAAAATTTCAGGCCTTAAAAATACATGTCCAAAACTTCTCCAGGTACCTCAGGAGCCTTTGAAAAATCATTTTTTCCAAACTTCCCAATGGATATGGTTTTTTTAGATACCCTAGAAAATATTCTTATGAAAAAAATCAGGAGACAGTAAGGCTTAAAACCTGTGGTAGTAAAGGTAGAAGGAAAAAAAAATAAATAAAAGCAAGTCTTGAAACGCCTCTTTATCTTTAATCTACCCAGCCATATAACACTGGGCAAAGAAAGAGCAACACAACCAACTTTTCCCCATACTTTTGACACAATGCTTTCCTGACATTTTGAATATTTTTTCCTGATCATGACTAGTCCGTGATGGAAATAGGAAGAGTGGCAGCTTTTAAAAACAGATTCAGCTTTAAAACCTTGATTTCTCTATACCTACCTTGCTGATTGTCCCTGACAATCTGAGGAATTCAGAATGCTATGAGTATTTTTCTCACTTAAGATATATTTTTGCTTTGCCAGGAAGGCAAGGTAGTAACACCAGGGTATAGGTAGATGGTTGATAAGAAGCAATGGTTGATAGCAAAACAGATACATATCCTTCCCCATTAACTATGTGTACATGTTTCAGAATAGATGTACCGACCCATAGTTTAATCTGTGTAACTTAAGATAGTTCTGGACTGTATCCAGTATTTTACTGTGCCTTTCAAAAATGTTGCCTTATGTGAATCAATTACTCAAGATTCACTGATGGCTTTGCTACTGGCAAATTTTAGTCCTTCTGCAACTCATAGAATAAAAAGGCACACATGGAGTCTTCTCAGAATAAACTATAGATACTGAAGATAAATTGCTGCAATAAAGTTTATTATTTCAAAGAACAGTGTAAATAAAGCTTTTATTTTCACTATTCCAGATGGCAGCAGCATATAATTTGTCCTGTTTTGACATCATGACCATATTATTCAAAATCATTCTTCCTGCAATTTAACAGAGCACAGGATTGAAAACAGTAAAATAAAAAGGAGGGGGTGGGCGGGGATGAGAAGAGTAAAATCAAGATTTTGCAGCAAAGTTAGTATTCCGTACTACTGAGTTAGTATTCTGTGCTAGTATTGCACTAAATACGCATACAAATAAAATAAAAACTACAAATGAAGCAGTTTCTAATTATAAATAAGAGAGTAACTTGGATTGAAATGATTTAAAGAATCAGAAATTTGCCAGTTAATAAACATTATTCCTACTGAAATAATTTACAAAGTAAAATTCTGCCAAAAAAGAATAATTATGAACACACTATAAATTCTTTTTACAGGCTCTTCTGTTCAAAACTATTATATTCAGATGGATACTTTAACTTAGCTGTGCTTGCTATAAATAACTGCAAGAAGGTAATAATAACTGCACTAGAGGAATAGGATAGGTATCCACAGGGATTTATCTTAAATTTCAAACAATTATATTACACAACTAAAGGAAATTGGATAGTGACAAGATGATCTGCTAACATTTGCCAGATATTCAACACAACACATGTTGTCCACACCACCTGACTGAAACACATACATTAAAAAAAAAAAAAAAAGCTTCACATATTGAAGGGGTGGACCAAGCACTTTTGATGAAAAAGAAAACAATTTGTTTGATAGCTCTGTATGCAACTA